TGCCAATTTTTCTTCGTTTAAGCTGACATTCTAAGCGAGAAAAAGCCGTATTTTGGAAAGCATCTTTTTGCAAAACAAGAACTGATTACGCGTGCAAGACTTCGTGGACAAGGCTTTGCGACTGTAAGAACTTCTCTTTTAATCAGGGTCATACAAAGAGTTTTGCGTTTTTTCTCGGAAAAGTTATTTTATAAAAGCAATAGAAAACTTTTTACCTGTGTTTGCATAGCCTGATATAAACACTAGAGGCGTTGGGAGAATTCGAGACAGTTATGCAAACCTCAGCTTCGTCTGGGGTTGGCATAACTGTCTCGAATTCTCCCAACCCCTCTCGTGTTTGCCCAGGAAATGATTTGTAACCTTAACACGCAGTTCGTATTAGCATTTTTTGTGTTTAAATTTACATTATAGAAGATGGTAATTGATTTCAGGTTTCTTGAGCTTCATTTGCATGAAAAAAACAAGACCGTGACAGACCCGGTGTAACCGTACCCATTGGTTTAATTCAGTTTACCCAGTAATAATTTATCCTCGCAGATACCTGGCGAATATTTTTTTTCTACCTGGCTTGCTTCTCCGCTCACTTTCTATTGTGAATTCTACAAAACAAGCGTATTTTGTTATTCATGTTTGCCTTGTAAAAGAAGCAAAAATATGAGATATTATTACCAGTGACAAGAAAAATCAGAGGGTACAGGTAATCAAACTCGCATAAAAACTGCAAGTCCTTTAATCTCGCTAGAGTAATATGTAAAAGGTTTCAAAGGTTTCAAAGGCTTCATACCGGTTAAGATATTAAGCCTACCACCCCTTTTAGCCTTTATGGGAGATACAATGCAGCTAAGGAAAAGAAGCAGTGGAAATTAAGCCAGCCCGGTGTCGACGTTCTCTCCGAGAACCCGGTGAAGATTTAATTTCCACTGGGCCAGTTACTGAGGGGTGTTAATAAAGTGAAAACAAGGCCCTGTAGAATTTGGTTTAATCAAGACCCCAAATACCTGATCTTAATTAAAGGTTGTATGCTTTGTTTCCCAATGTAGTTCATATAGTTTTCTACTTTGGAAATATTTGCAAGTTGATCAATAACGAAATTTCAAAAACGGGTTTCCTTGTGTGTTAAATCACATGACCTGTACATTGAAGAAAACAAAACATTCAAGCAAAAGAGAACTGTTAATAGAGCGTTTTCACTCACATGGCCTGCAGCTATGGAAGTATATTGGAACAAAAGAACGTTTTTACATGAAAAAGGTTCAGCTCTCTCAAGACTGGTTTTGGACCCGAACATCATTACAGAAACGCGCCAATTGATAGTTGTCGATCGTGAAAATGCAAACAAGTGAAAAATGACGGAGAGAGTTCCCTGTGTATCATCCCTTTTCCTGGTCATTGTTCTTGCTGGGACACCCGCAACATTTGACTATTATTCGGGGCTTTGGAGGGGAGGATCCTTAGTAAGTTTTTTACCGATTGGGGAGGATCAAACCTGTTTTATTCTCAACCGGGGGAGGGTCACAGTCAGTTTTTGGTACGGAAAAAAATTACTCCATGTCGCTTCTATTTTGTATATACAAGCAAAGCTACAAGTCAAGATTAATCTAAATTATTTAAAGGTGTCGAAAAATTTATATAAATAAAGCACATGAAAATGACATAGGAATCTTGAACATTATCAAACAAAGACTGAAAGACATCGAATTACAAAGATGGTTAAGTGACGTAAACAATGACGTAAGAACGACGGCAACCAAAAGAACAAATTAAGAACCTTCCGAAAATTTAAAACAATAGAAAATTATAAATGTGAAGGTTATCTCCGTCAGGTCACCAACATCCGACACCGGATAACTCTAACTAAACTCCGTCTAAGTGAGACAGGTCGGTATGTAAGACCTTATAAGAAACCGGAAGAGAGGATCTGTCCTATCTGTAAAAAAGACGTAGAAGATGAAATACACTTTTTAACTCTGTGCCCTGCGTATCAAGAAAAAAGAAGTACTTTATTTGAATACTTAAACAAAGAATACAGAATATCAGTAAACAGAATGGCACCAGATGATGTTTTTCTTTTGATAATAAACCCTCCGAGCAAGAACAAACCAGTGCAAAAGTTAATTGCAAAATACGTATTCGACTGCTATGATCATGAGAAAAGAAGATCATTAGTTCTTTAGGTTAACATTGATTATAGTTCCACTAGTGTGCAATTTGTGTTATGATTTTCAATTATTTGGATAAAGTCGATGTACATACGACTCTATAAGACTCCAAATAAAGCATTGTCATTGTTATATTATCAAAAAACTATCTTCTCCCAACTAACATAATTGTCTCTCTCGCCCCGTGTCCGCTTTCGCCCATATTTTGACGTTTCCACGCGGGGTTCTGGTTAAAAATCAGTCTCCGGTGAGGATTCTGCACTTAAGCTACTCGGGCTTGAACCGACAACTTCGGGGACCACCCTACGTCTTCATCTTTCCACTTCTCTGGACTTGCGCTTTCACTTGTTCCCGCAGCCGATGTGCCACCAACAGAGTAACACTTCCAGTTTGTTATTTTCGCTTCCGGTTAATTTTGTCTTGAATAGGTAGGGGGGAGGGTCAGATGTTTTTGTTTGGGTATTTCTAAAGGGTCATGCATTAATCCATTCCAGGAAGTGGAAGGGCCACGACTTTTTTCGCAAAAAAATTCTAAAATACCCCGGCCCCCCCCCCGTAACAAAAATGTACCTACCCTTAAAATTGAAAAATCCTCGATGATTGTTGTTGCCGTACCTGTTTCAACACGCTGATTTGAAACGAATGTGTTGAGACACCAGAATAGTGAACGTGTGACAAAATGTCATTTCCGACTGCCCTAAGAGCCTCTTTTTGTAACGGTTTTACACTTGTCCTCAATTTATCAAGGGCTTTAGAAGCCTTGATTTGCCTCTTAGTGTTGTATCCTCAGGGTCTGTACGGTACAACCCTCGAATGGGTTTTTTGTATTATACTCTGATTCAGATTGTTTTCGTTCTTGCGGTGGAATACACTAACCTGGCCGGAGAACGCCATAATATTATGTTTATAGAGAGAAGTCATCACGTCACGTTGCCGTGGTAGCAAAATTTTGGATGACAAAACACTGATCTTAATCAATTTCATTTGGTTGAATGGATCGCGCCCAAAGCCTCTGTCAAACAGTCAACATTCAAACAACATTTGCTAAGAAAAAAAAACAAACTTTTCTCCATCAGTGCTAGTGATTACTGCTAGTTCTTCCCATTAATACAACCAATTCAGTGCACAAACCTGGACGTGCGTTGTGTTCTGCGAGTGATAACCTAATGCATTTTCCCCAACAGAAAATTCTAAGCCCATGTTGAAAGCATTTACGATTGCTCTATGAATATGTTGAGGTCCAATTTTTTTCTTTGGTTTAAATTTTATTTTCTTTTGTTTCAAATTTATTATAATTATACAACACCAAGTAATCGGCTCATGACAACACCATACCCAAAAACAAAAGAAATTAAATAAAATTTAAACCAAAGACAATCTTGAACCACAAAAAATATATAACAATAATAATAATAATAATAATAATATTTGTGATTGACGAATAATTAACCCCGAGCACTTTTCTAGGAGATAAAGAGAAAGGACATAAAGGGTAAGCATTGGGTTGGTTTCACGACATTTAACTAGAAATTTACGTGAGATTTTGAAATTTAAAAATAAAAAATAAAAAAAACAACGCGACTGTGTGCGGATATTAATGAAGTTTATTTCTTCATGCTATAACAGACTTGGAAATGTGGTATTGCTGCTTAGCAGTCATATATGAGGATACTATCTATAGCAACATCCCCTCGCCAAGTCCCTCCTCTGACTCCTTCGAAGGTTAACTGCAAATAAAATGAAATATTGGAGAAAAATATTGATTAAGACCATTCAGAGTTCGACATTTCTAATGTGTTTTTAAATACATATTTTCCTTGGAAAGCCGCGCAAAATTGGATGCGGATGGGGTATCATATATAGAAAAATCTGGTATTTATCCGTCCCCCCAATTTTTGTTTTCACGTGACCGCTCGAAAACGCAACATGAGACAACCAAAGTAAAACTGCAGCCTATTCAAGATACGCGACCACCCCAAGAAGTGAAATAACTCTTGGAAGAGGTCAGTCACAAGTTCACAAGTTCACTTTCAAAGCGGCATTCCACACCGGGACCAATTTCCCCTTGGATTCAAATGAGAAATCTCAGCCCGATTAACGAGTTGAGAAAGGGCCGAGGATACTGTGAAACTAGAAACTTGTGCCGAAAAAACCGGATGCTCTCGCAGGCTAACTCGGTACGACTTTTGGCGCGAAATTCGAGAAACAAAGCAAATATGGCGGAAACACAAAGTTGAAACTTTCGCGCCTATCGATCATTATAGTTTCGACAACTCTTATGGCTGATGTATCACTGGAGTTAAATGGATGCTTATGATGTGGAAAATACAGCATGTAAAGCAAGACGATACAGAATTCATTCGAAAAATTGATCCCGCTTTCTTCCCGGTAACCGAACTGAAGTGTTAATATGGCAACATTTTCCTGCCCGCTTACCGAGATCCCGGTCGGAAAAACCGACATCTCGAGAACCCGAACCAGCCCGCTCTCTCATATGAACACATCGATAATTTTACGGATAATTTTAGGGATTTAAAGGTAAGGCGAGATCTCGAAAACGGGCCAGCCCGGTCACCCGAGCTCATGTAAAGAGGCCCTCAGCCAGTTGACAGCATTCACCGCATCTAAGGCCAGATTATCCCCCCTCCCCGCATCACAAATAGCCAATGAAGATTAAAAAATGCTCTCTTTTTAAGTGGTTTTAATGAAAAAAGTTCATTAAACACGTCGCCAAAACCTTTGATAAAATTCATAGAATTCACAGGAAATAGGTAACTTATTAACTTACTTATTTTAAGAAAAGATAATTGAAAAAAAAATTGGGAATCTAGTTTTTGTTCTTACCTCCTTAGAACCCGATCCTTGAAGTCGACGAATTGTTTGCATTTTCCACTGGTTTCCCTGATCTCCCGTTTTCTCAAAAATCACAGCATCGCATAGTTTAACTCTCAAAGTGCCCATTCCGGATCCATACATGTGATAGTAGAACCTCAGACAAGACTTCCCTGACAGGGTAACCATCCGGGAAATTTTGGCGTTGTCACCAAGTTTCCTTGGACTTGATGTCTCGATGTAGGCATAATACTCTGCAGAAAATGTGCAAGATATGGATTAACAGCACTTTTAAGCAATATAAATAAAAAGCGGTATAAATGAAATTATTTTAGTGGGTTTGCCAATTTTTAAGGTTCTTTTTACTTCGAACAGAGAGAATTTGTGGCCGTTTGAGATCTCATTAAACCAAGAGAGGGCAACCCTCTCTCCTTATATATAAAACTCATATAACACCACTACTCATAGAATTGATAGCCTTCTGGGCCGTTCACCTCAAATTGACTCCTCCCAATACTACTTTTATATTCTAGCGTTTTTTTTACAGTAGTTTCCAGTAATTTTTGCATAAGGTCAAAATGGCTATTAAAGAGCTGCCAATAAAAGGTTCTATATTCACCATTCGAACAGGAAAATAATACGAACGCTGGTTGAATGAAAACTATATAACAACCAATTTTATCTGAGCAGTGCCGCACATGTTGTGCGGTACGAAACCAGTTAGTAATATAATGCCAAATCGGATCTAACATTGATCAGATCACTTAAATTGACCACCAATATCAGTATTATTTGGCTTCCTCTTTCGTTCGAGTTATGGTACACATAGACCTTTTTAAAATCTAAACCATTTTGAAATTGCTTAGTTTTTACATCACTACTGCGAAAAACTCAAAATCAGCCGTCTACTAATATGGTAACTCGGCAAAAAAAGGAAAACAATATGAGGCAGATAGAAAAACTAGAGATTACAAATAAAACGGCTTCCTAGCTGGTATTATTTATTAGAAATAAAATTGAAACGGTTGAATCTTTTCGGGGAATTGATATAATTTCATATAGTTCTTCGTCATTAGTATATATAAATTATTATATGTGGTCGAAAATCAGTACAAAAAGTATCTGTTTTCGCATTACTTCCTTCTTGTGCACCACTTGGTCCAGTATTGCCGGACGGTGTTCTTCCTGTTCTTCTGGTCCAGTCAAATTTATCGTCCTTCGCTTGATTGAAGCCGCAGAAACTTGCTTCAAAATTACATTTAAAAGCTGAAAAAAAGGGAAGCACGCAACAGTGGAAAGTTGACGATTTTATTCTACACGCGGCTTGCATTTTACAGAATAACCTTTTTTGATACTTCTCCTATTCCTTTTTAGCTTCTCTTTTAACTTTTTGCATTGCTGTCATTAAGTAAACGGTAATGACTGATCGTGATTACATCAAAATGCCTTGTGATAAGATTGTTAAAAGCCGTTTCACGCTAACTAAGGAAATCATGCTGACACAGCGACCATTTGATGTATACTCAAATATACAAGTATACTGCAAAGCCTTAGAAACTTGAAAAAACTCTCAAATTTTCGATTTAAGTCTTGCAAAAGGTTTAAAATTAGGTAAAAAAAGCAGGAATTGTAGTATTTCTACCCAAATATTCATCATCTTCTACACAAAGTATTCCTCTTCATTCAAAGCTGGCCGGTTTCGTAGATCTTCTCTCCAGGTCCCCATCCATCTCAAACGAGCTTGCTCCAATTAAGCACGCCCATTATGTTCATCTAATCCTAATTAACATTGTCCATCAATTTTGTTTTTGGTCTCCTTAACTAGTCGTAGTTACAGCAAATGTCAATTAACACTGGAATTCGTTTCACGCCTAGACTTTGATAGATTGTGCTTGAAAAAAAAATGGGCATAATATGCTACTAGCAGTGCTCGTATATATCACGTTCCTAAAAATATGCCAATAACTAGTTATTCAAGTTTTTGTAAATTATGCTCATTTTAGCAAAATATGCAGAAATTAGACCCATAGCCAGTAAATAACTATGCAAAAAACATGTAAATGGTACACACATTTAACCTACTTTCATCTAGAAATCCATTCTCTGAAATTCAAACAAAAACCAGCGCACGCACGCCATCTTGGGTAACCGAGCTATTTCAGTAATGCGCTTGCGTTGACTCCTGTGGAAAGGTCGTCGATCACTTCCTGTGGGACCCAGGTCCCGTGAATGCGACAATAAACAGACAAAATATTGATTTTGTTACTTAAATTTGCCCGTAAGACTTATTTCGCGTCACAAAACTTGGTTGCATGGTCAATAATGACAATTTGATGCTGCAAAACCGTGCCAAAGGTGCAAATTATGTCAGCAGTGCATTTTACGGGAAATGCGTTAAAATTATAACTGTGCCAGAAAATATGCTAGCACAATCTATCAATGCCTTTTCCCACCAAAGACTTTGCCCCTTTCAACTTTCACTTTTCGTTAGTGCCTTTTATTTTCGACCGAATCAGTTATTAGAGAGTTTAAGCTTCACATATACGGCAAACGGCAAACGTCAGATTCAAGTTGAGAGTTTCTCAAAATGGAAAATGAGCAGATAAAAAACAGCTCAAAACAATTCTTATGGATAAAAAATTGCTTGAAACTGCTAATTAATGAGTAGAACTAATGAACAGTAAACGACAAGTAAAGGAGAAACTTGGTCACGTGGTACAAATTTGCGTTTACTGTTTGACGTAAACGTGATGCTTCACCTCTCTATTTGGTTATTGCCTCTTACAAAATCACGTAACTTCATTTGTCTCTTTGGAAATAAAAAAAGCATCCAGCAGACATGGAATGGAACAAGCTCAGTATCATGTGAGATCTTAATTAGGAATTCCTGAACACGATCTAAAGTAAGCAATAAAATACCATATAAAACGACAAAGAGTAATATTGGAATACTCACATCCCGTAGGCAACGTTGTTGGAGGACGTGTTGGTGGAGGACGTGTTGTTGGAGGAGCGGCAGCTGTTGAAAAATGAGAGCATATTCATTTAATTTACCATACATATGCATTGTACTCGCTATCTATGCTCTCATTGGTTAAGAGCCTTCAGTTATTTCTGGAAATCAGAGCAACCTACAGATTAGTTAGTTATCTGCTAGCAAATAAGTGATCACTATTCTTTAAGCTGCGCGCGCGATGCATTATTTCCATTAGCAACGTCAAACCGTGTTCCGTGCGATGGTGTGTTTGTCGTTTTTTTCCCCTAAAAACAATGTATGATTATAAAACAATCATTAGATTCGGTTTTTGTGATCCTCCGGAATAATAAAGGTCTCGGTAAGTGTTAGCCGAGGCCGAACACCTGCCTCCACCTTGATTATTCGGTATGATCACAGAAACCTCATCCAATAATTGTTTAGCATTTGTTTAAAACTGATATTTGAAGCCTGAGGTGTGTTCTTGCCGTTAATCGACGTTTTAGCGTAACCAAAAAGAACTATTTAGGGAAAAAACCATAGGTAATTAGCCAGAGGACGGCGACGGCAGCGAAAACGTCGCTTAAAAAGTGAATTCGAGGATTTTCAATCTTCATCGCGATTATTCCAAATCACTTACTTCATAAAACGTACAGGAACTCTCAATTGAGTTGAATCCCTAAGAGTCTTATCCAATTTCAGAGAGAGAAAGAAAATTTCGTCTTTGATTGTTTACGTACACCGTAAAACGTGAAACTGGGCATTTTTACGTCGTAGTCGTGCAGTGTCGTTTTGATGTTCTCGTTCCCGACGCCGTCGTAGGATTTGAAGGTCCCTTAAGTCTGGAGTCTTGAAACGCCTCAGTTTGTCTGTTTACATTTTCGATAAGCCACTCATCCAGGATCAAACATGAAAGTGGTGTTAGCAAAAGGCTTAGTACGGAAGGTAGGGTACAGTTTGTACTTACTTGATGTTACAGGGCACTTGTACAGCAACATCATTTGGCGACTGTCAATGGAACTGAGAGCTTTCCTATTTCCAATGGTAACCTAGTGATATTTGATAACAATATCAGTTATTTGAAAACGAAAAAAGAAGAATCACACACGGTAAACCATCCATTACTGAATACTAACCCCTGCCTTCTTGGGAACAATTGTAGGCTGGCCATTCTTAGAGAAATACCTCGCTCCATAGTGCATGATGGATCCATAATCGTATGGTGTCCCCAAAGAGTTCACGCTGCTTGATTTCCTGAAGTTTCCTTCTTTTCCTATTAATAAGTAAGGTATAACCGAAAAGTTTTGTTATTTCTGGTTTGAGCATCTCGTTTAGAAAGTTAACAACTGGTTGTTAGCTCAGCGTGTGTGTATATTGAGTTCTGGAGTATTGTGAAAAAGGCAGTTGAATTAAAATTCAACTTGCAAACAGTTCAATGAAGGCATTGAATTCTTTCGAACCTTTGGTGATCTCAATTGTGATACGAACTGCCAGGAAAAGAACTTTTCCAAATGCTATCCCGAGAACATAATTTGTGAGTAAAAATCGGCTATCAGAACACTCACTGTAACTTAACCTCATAACCAGATAACTGGTTGGTGACGTGGACACGTGACCGTTCAATTATCCAATAGACCTTATTTACGATACCCGCCATTTTTGCACGCGCTTTAGGATCGATGGGATAAAAGTAATATCACGCGGTATGTCATTGGGCAAGCAAGTAATAAAATTTGCCAATACGAGTAATCGCGATCGAATTTGTAGCGGAGCTCTGGCGCGCGAAGCGCGCCTTCGGAGCACCATGGGTAAGTAAATCTACCCATCCCAGAAAATTTGGTAATCACGTGACCGTACACCGCCCGCCCGCCCGTCCGTCCGTCCGCACCACAGGGAAACCAGTGTTTAATCCTCACACTTTCTAGCCAGTTTGGGAGCACAGGAAGACTGATATTGCACACATATATTGCACATCAATGTTGTGATCAATTGACAGCTGTCAAGACAGGGTATCCGCTGACCAGGATCACCTGACCGTATCGCGGGCTCAGGTGTCGACCCATCGAGGTCGATATCTTTTTGAAGTTATCCGCTGACAAGTAACTTGTTTTCAAATGATCGCAGGCTCAAGTTTATTTTTTTTAATTCATATGAAATATGTTGTGTTTTGTATGTGCCGCACAATTAAAATGATTTTAAACTGACCTAGGAAGCTAAAATTCAGCCAGTTTTTACAGGCAGGGAAGACATGCCAGTTGCTTTTGACTTTCCTCACCAAGGTCACGCGTTGGTCACGCTCCACGTACAATTTTTATGCTCTGATTGGTCAAAATTTGACAGGTGAGTTCATGCGGAAAATTTATGCAGCATCTTGAGACTTGTTTACTTTGCTGAAGCTGACATAGTTTTGTGTCAACTTGTGATGTTTTTAACTGTCTTTTTCCGCTGAATGTACAAAATGAAATTCAGCTGCTATCAAGAGTCTTCTGTTATTCATGGCTAGTTTGTTTACTGGTTTTTTGGTTGAGAAATACATCGCTTGTCAACGTCGGAAATCCGATTTCGGATGGCATCGTTTTCGTTTTTCACCTTGCTGGATGCGTAAGAGGGTTGAAAAGTCTGAAGCGATTCTGGCCTTACTTGATAGTTTTCAGTGCATCTCGAATGGTAAGCCCGAGTAATTATTGTATTTGACGTTTGTTTTTTATATCTAATTTAATGAAGTCGAGCGTAGTTTATGCGGCTATTTAGTTTATTCACGTTTTTAATTGTAAGATTTGAGACAATGATCTGACCGAGTATCAGGTTTGATTGTAAGCTTATAGAACTTTAAAAAGCCTTTAGACATTTTCTCACCGCAAATAGAAAGAAAACGTTCCAAACAATATTTAGTTATAATTCTGGTTGTAAAAGAAAGCTTTGAGCGATTTTCTTGCCTCGAGTTCATCTTTGAAAAAGCAAACACTGGGAAGCCGGCTTACAAAATGAAAAACATAAACAAGGGGCACGATCCATTCAACCAAACTTTCCGGAAATTTCGGTCCAAAACTCAATGGATCGGTTCAGTCCAACCGGAAAAGTTTCGGAAAAACGGGTCCACCTTTTGAGGTGGTCCTCTTTTCCCGGTCGGACCGGTTGGAATTTTGGTTGAATGGATCGCGCCCAAGGATTTTCAGAGACACTTTAATACCTGTCTTCGTAAATGAAAATTGTTGTCTCTGTATATGTTTCACCGAATTATTTTCCTTTTATTGATTGTTAGTATTCTCTTTTGCAATTTTTATCGCTGTGCCGTTTGTTTTCAGTCGCTCATGAACATCGCTTGCATGCAGGAGTAGTCAAAATGCCGCGCGTATCAAACGCTTTTGACGATTAAACATCGTTATAAAACCATTAAATAAAAAATAAACATAATATATTCTTTATTATGTTGAAGCGTATAACTCTATTAATTATAATTTAAACAGTCGACTTTGGGGCTTGTCAAAAGTGATAACCGGCTAGCCGTATAGGTGATTTTGGAAATTTTTTTAACGGTTTCGCTAAAAAGCCCACACGTGCTTCGATCGTCCTGAATATTGAGTGAGTGCAATTTGTATTGCAAAATTGTGAAATACTGCATTCTGTCCGAGGTCTGTATGATAAAAACAGCGCCTCATGGTACTGTTTCACCTCAGACGTGATGTATAAAAAGTTTAAAAGGTTAGGTTATACGTCCCCAGACTTGTTGGCAAGATTTTGTAAAGTAAACTTGTCGAACGCAAAAAATTCGGCCTGATTTGTTTTCCAAGAATTGTTTTCCAGGCCTAATCTACTGTGATCAAGAGCCCGCGCTCTTAAATGTGTGATGGAAGATGATTGTCATTTTTTGGGTGTACATATAAGGCTATCAACTCGATGTAAGATTAAGTTCACTCTTAGCTTGGACTGTTTGCAAATTACTTTTCTCTAAAATCACTTAACCCTTCCCTCAAAAGTCACATGAATGTGCTCTAAAGTTAACTGAATTGTGGGAAACAAGTTTATTGTTTGATTTAAATTATAAATTCGAGTTAATATATAGGACTGAGCTTCGCTTTTAGCCCTGGCTAAATCTATATATTATATTTTATCAAACCAAGATTACGATCGGTTAAAACCCATTGGCCCCCTAACATTTTGCCGAAAAACGTGTTTTGAAGTTATTCGGGGGGCTTTCTGGTCACCGTCGTGCTATAAAGGGCTAAAAATTACCATAATTGATCACTTTCAGCCTTAATTTGCCATTATCGTCTTTAACCCTATTCAGACCGGGCCTTTTTTATGCATCCTGGGCCCTGGGGGGCGGGAGGTCTCGGGAGCCCCCTCTATCCCCCGCTCATCTTACGGCCACAAAAATTACACACAATAATGTAATCATCATTTCCAACTTCTGTGCATAACCTGATTGACACGATGACATAATCTGACGTCATTCTGACGTCATTGTTGAATTTATTGGCAGATATCAAATTTCCCTCAAAGTAGTTATAAACTGCGTATTAAATAGTATGGTCTCTGAATAAATCAAGGAAGTTGGCTAAAAAATAAATGATCTTCAATAATATCAGTGATATCATGATGACGTCATTTATTACTTACTGGAAGTATCCGCCATCTTGAATCCGCCTGATTTTGAATCATTTAAATCTAGTCCATTTTACTTAAAACTCTCGACTGATAAACCGAGGTATTTTTAACAGAAAACTTAATCTGAGTGTAAAAGGATGCTTGGGAAAGAACAACAACAACAAAGCAAAAAATTGAAAATTAAACTCAGCATCTGCCATTTGGTTATATTAAATTCACTAAAAAGCCTGTAATTCATTAACAGTTACAATAGCTTTGATAAAATAAAACTAAGTTAAATATAATAATCCAATCAGTGAAAATAGAAAAAACCCTATTTTTAGAGAAAATGCAAATTTTGAAAACATGGCTGTCAAAACTCGGTTGCCATGGTAACATCAATGTTATCGTACACGTCACCACGACTTCATATGTTCCCAGATAAATTTTAGGTAGTCGCTAAGATGGGTGGTCTTAGCTTGAACGGTTTTGAAGTTATTCAACTTTTTAGCGAGGGCCCCCCTGTCTGAATAGGGTTGAGATTAAACGTTCTTCATTTTCTGTTGTCTCAGATAAACAAACTCGACCACTATTTCTTGCATTGACTGATACTTGATTTGATCGCCGTCTTAAAAACCACGTGACATCGTTTTTGTCCCATCCATCAGTCTTTTTAAAAGCGCGTGCGAAAATGAAAGGCATTGTGAGTAAGGTCTATTGCCTGAGAGGAACCTAATACAACTTCTTCAACTTCATACTGATTATCATCAGACTTATGGTGACAGATACGAAGCCTTCGCGACAGGCACACCGAAAATGTCAAGGCCCTCACTGAAGTTGACCAGTGGGACTGAGATAGTTAACTAGCTGTAGCAACAGGGGAGAAAATGCCTGACGGTCCTTACTGTTATTAATCTTAGTGAATCTTTAAGCCCCATGTCTTTATCTGTATACACTCTAACGGTTACTTTCGACCATGCATGTTGCGTCGAGTTTGTGACAAAAAAGTGCGCTGGTGTAGCATGTTATTAATTTTAATCGGACTACAATAAATAAGCAGAACAGTTACAGTGTAAGGCTACGTGCAAACGGGCGCAACAACTCCCAACAATGTTGCGTCCATTTGCACGGGGCTAAGAGTTTGACCGCGGTTTCAAACTTTGCGCAACAACGCGCAACAACATCCAACAACATGCAACAGGGTATGCAAACGGACGCAACATGTAACATCCAATAATGTTGGGAGTTGTTGGTCAACAATGTTGCATCCGTTTGCACGCAGCCTAAGGGGACAATAAACCTTACCGGATTGTATGTTCTCAAACTTGATTTCAACGTAGTTATCTCTGTCAGGTCGAGATTGCTCGTGAAGAAATCCAAGGGCATGGCCTGAAGAGATGATTAGAATGTAATTAGTAATTAGAATCTTCCTGTCAGCAAGAAGGCAACTATAATCAGTAAAGAATATGGCAAGATGCAAGACCTAGGATGGAACTGTTCTCCTTTTCCAGCATCATCGTAAGGGACTGGTCAAAAAGTATGGGGGGGCTGGGCCGGAGCATTTAGAAATGTGGTTGATAAAAAACACATGACCCACCCCCTCCCTTCGGCACAAAAATGACTTACCCACCCCTAAAGCAAGGTTCGAAGTTGCATGACCCACCCCCTAGTTAAAACATGGACGTTCAGTTTCCTTTTAATAATCCAATAAAACCTTGTTCTGTGCTTGACAAAATTTGTTGATACACTGCTACAACCAAAATCAAAATCACAGAAATCATACCTTTCACTGAAAAGACGAATGTGAAAAACCGAACATTTCTTGTTTCAATGGACGTTATGAGTCCGTTGACACAAATATACAGCAAAACGAGGGTATATTGAAATTATCTGTCACAAAGCATATGAAAATTTCAACAAAGACAACCCATTTCTACATATTACTTGCCGGAAATGCTTAGATTAATCCTCAAAGAAAATTTCTTCCACTTCAGTGGAAAGCACTACTTACAAAACCATGGAACTGCAATGGGCACAAAGACAGCAGTTTTGATTCCTTTGCCAATATTTTCATGACATATATTGAAACAACAATTCTAAGCAAAACTGTCTTTAGAACAACAGTTTGGAAATGCCACATACACGATACCTTTCCCCTATGGGACATGAGTAAACCAGACATCGAAGCCTTCATTGAACAAGCAAGCTTACATCACCCAACTATTGAATTCACGGCCAAAACATTTGACACTGAGACTGCGTTTTTAGACACGGTTGTAAACAAAGGCACAAGATTCAAGGAAAAATCTATCCTTGATGCAAAGACACATTTTAAACGAACGGAAAGCTTCTTGCGCACAAATTTCACCTTGTGTCACCCTCCAAATGTTAAAACATAATTTGTCAAAGGAGAAGCCTTAAGAATCCTACGAAAAAACTCCTCAAGAACAAGCTTTGAGGAAAATAATTCAAATTCAAAAAAAAAAAAACGCTTGATGGACGGAGGGTACCCACAATCTTTCAGGGGCACCCAACGTCAATTTTCGGAAAATATCTGTTTGAAAGACGATTTGAGATCTAGAATTTTCTGAACATTTGTTGTAAAATTTCTTGCTTGTCTGCCCCTCCTAGGATTTTCGAACATCTAAAAAAAATGGTATAATTGCCCATTTTTAACGGATTTTTACCCTAAAAAGGTCACCAAGAAATTTTTGGGAACGTTTTTTCTGGCTGAAATTTTCGAAAAGGTAAGTTTTGATCCCTATAATTTTCGTATCACTAGACTTTCAGCTAGGAGATCCGAACAGATGAAAAATTTTTTGGGGATAAAAGTACGCCTATATCTACTGTTTAAATACTAAGATAAGTTTAACAATGCTATGTTTAAGTGGTTTTGAACTATATTCTCGTTGTGTGCCCCCTATCTTTGATAGAAAACCTACTATCAGAAATAAAAGTCACCAAAGGGAGTCTAAACTCCTAAAACAAAACAACAAGGAGGAAAAAGAAATATTGCCATTCGTGACCCAATACCAGCCCTCAGTGTCTACTATAAAGGAAGCTTGAATGAAAAAATGGAATCTTACACAAAACCAACTATAACTTCAATAAATTTTTAAAGAACCACCAATCATTTCCTTACAAAAAAGGAAAATCGTTAAAGAACATGCTCGTTAGAGCCGAAAAAAAAAGGTTAACAGAGGGTTTCACACCCGTATAGATGTGTGGCCTGTCAACCTTTGTATTTTCTCGCACAGCAGGTTTGTGAGTATTTTAGCAATAATTCCAGCTGGCTGTGTTTTATATAACAAGTGTAGTCAACTGTCTCGTTAGTAGTTAGTAAAAAATAGGGTGACCCACCCCCTAAGAGTAGCTGAAAATTGCACGACCCACTCCTTGCACAAGGCTCAAAACCTCATGACCCACCCCCTCTCTGCTCCGGCCCACCCCCACCTATACTTTTTGACCAGTCCCTAAAGGCACAGAAATTCAAAACGCATTTTAGATCTGTGTCGATCAGTCGATCAGTCAGAACAAGACAAGCCAGTCTTGCGAAATTCAAATATTAAACATCTCAGGGAATGACTGTTATATGTGTTGTTCTGGTTGTGTTCATACCGGGGTTCATATTAAAGTCACGATAACCTTCATCTACTTCATATGATTATTGAATGGAGAAAACGTATAAGCTTCTTAAATCTCACCGATTTCGTGAATAATTGTTCCTTTTCCCCAACAGCCTCTAGCAAGTGATAACTGTTGTTTACGGCCAGTTCTTCCAACATACGACCAACAGCTGTTTGATACAAAAAAACCCAATTAAAATTGTACAACTGGGTTAATGCGTTTAGATCTCGACAGGTCAGGTAGGTAGCTTTCTCGGTCAACATGCAAGCCGCGCTAACATAATAAATATGGTATGGGGTCAATCCAAGGTCCCATTATGGTACAGGCCTCGGTAGATACCAGATCAGTCCTTGTTTTGCAAAAAAGATGCTTTTTTTCAAATTCGTGCTTGCGTGATTAGCGCGCGAAAAGCAAAACATCTTGACGTCACAACCATGTTTACATACTCTCATGCAAACACGCCCCTCGGCCAATCAGAGCGTGCGTACTATCTTACTTATTTTATAAAATATAATGTAATATAATCCCACTTTTCTAGAGAACGATCTTTTGAAAGTCGACAAAATCATAGCGTTGACTTTCTTAAGGCAAGAAAAAACTTGGAAGGATTTAAAACGGCGTTTTTCCATTTACTGTAGCTGAGTTTTGTGCTCGATGGATTGTTTACAACTCCCTTTTATACGCGTAGAAGAAGCCGTTCCGTGAACTCAGACTTTCCTAACAAGAAAATTTGGCCCAAAAATCGTTTATTTATGACAAAAAAAATTTGAAAGCAGTTGTTTACAAAAACCGTTACGTTTCAAGTAAATAGGAAAAATAATGGTACAGGGAGACGACGTCTTACCTCGAGTAACCAGCATGAAAAGCATATTTGCCATAACTGTTGAAAATAAACTTTCTAATTGAAATTAATGATTCAGCCAGAAAAAATGACCACACTCCAGTGTGAAATTGAAAGACGATTGAATTTATCGAAAACGTAAGTGAAGTGATGTGAAAGCAAATGCGCGTCATAACACTGTTTTGTTACTTGTAAATGGAGTAAACCTACCCGCTCCCCCTGAACATGGACACATAGGCGGCTTCATTGGTTCTTTTTTTGAATGTTATACAACCTTTCGTTTCGGTGGTCCAGTCGTTCATCGCAGCTGCGATCCGACTTTTCGCCGTAGGGTCATCTAAAAAGAGTTAACATTGAATAAACAGATTTAATGATAAAAAAAAGAGTACTATTGAATGAAAAAAAATTTTTTTTCTGCGTAGCATTCAAATGTACCGATGTGGCTATCACCAAAACGTTTGATTTTCTCTCAGTTATTTTGGCATTAAAAAAATTCTTTTGATTGAGTGTAATCAATGAGCACCACCGTGAATACATGTACAGTGCAATGGCCTAACTGCAACTACGTCTCAGTGTCCTACAGTCAAACCAGGTCAAGCGTTCCCGTCGCTAACAAACTAATGAATTCATTAATGGAAAAATGATTTCGTTTGTTGATTCAATAATCCATTCATAAAATGAATAATCCAACAGTCAAATTGGACCTCGATTCAATAATCAAATGTTGATTTGGTTTATGAACAAAATCTACCTGTTCTTTATTCTTGTCTGTTGTGTTCAATCGTATTTGCTTCCTTTTTCCTGCCGTTTACGATTGCGTTTTTCATTGCCTTTAATCAAAATAACAGCTAGAATAGACAGACCGCAAACACAAAGAAACTATGAGAAACTGACAAAGGCCGAGGATCGAAATCCACCAATCACCGCACATACACTGACCTTAGTTTGACCGTTGTGTTTTCTAAGAGGTCAGGCCTAGGTCTGTTGCACTGATTACTGGCAGCAAACTGGCGTACATGTAACAGTTTGTTTGGGTTTGAACTTCAGAACTCGCCAGCACTCGACTCTCAGAAAAAAAAAGAGGAAAAAACAAAATTCTGGGGTCAACTTGTGGAAAGTGTAGTTTTTCAAACAACAGTAATCGAATCAACATTCGATTATGGAATCGAGGCTAAATATGAACATTGGATTGTTCATTTTATGAATGGATTATTGAATCAACAAACGAAATCATTTTTCCGTGAATGAATTCATTAGTTCGTTAGCGACGGGAACGCTTGACCTGGTTTGACTGTAAGTGGCCCTTGAAAAATTGTAAAAGAGGATTCTTAATGGTGTTATTAGTTTTCTTTACTGTATAGCTATATTACGAAACTTCGTGATTAGTTCTATATTTGTATGCGGTCTCCTTTGTCGAACGCAATCTTCTACAGTTTGGAATAATTTAGCTTGTCATTTCTTTTATGGATTTTCATGTTAATACGAAAGCATGGCATTATCCCTGTTGCAGTTCACCTTACCCACCTAATGATGATTCAATATCATACACAAACACTCCTTTGGGCCAAAGTCGCGTAGAAACTGAACCTCTTGATAACTGTTCTGGCAAAAACTTCATGTCGCCTTCAACTAGTTCATCATCTCCTCTGCTGTACAGATTCTCTGTTTAGGGTTGAAAGAGAATTTTAAGCTTACTGGATTCGGAAGACACAAATTACCAATGACCAGTTAAAAAGCTTCCTTGAAAAGCAGGGCGTGTTACTTGTACTTGCTGCATATTAAACCAAAAAAGCAACCAATTATATTAAGTGGCCATACAAAGAGTTTTTAACAGTTAAAAAAAGAATAATAAAGAATAATTGTATCGAGAGTTTGAACCCGGCATCTCATCTTAATAAATATTTCATCTCTACATCCTACTAAAATATTTTATCTCTACATCTGATCATGTTAATCGCCAAAAAGGTAAATAAAATCATTGCCGAGCATTTACAGCATGCAGGGGGAGAGTTCGCAGCCTTAACACAAAATCCATTGCTCAGTACTATCCCTCTGAAACATCTCATGCAAAAGAAAGTTTTACTGTCTAAGTTAAAATTATGTTAAGGAACTCTGTCTCAAGGAAGCCTAATTGAATAGCCGTCTTAATCAAGAGATAGTGAGCCGCTGTCCCTGAGAACTTAACTCCACCCATGGCTCTTTGGATGGTCCAACCATAGCATTTTATCAACTCTTCGATACCTAGAAACATATTTCAGTCATAATGCTTTTCATTATTCTTTGACACTAGCAACCTCGTCCCCAGGGCGCTTTTCCCTGGCTTTGGAGGTGAGGCGGGAAAAGGCCCTGGCATCGGCCGGTCAATCCGTCATTTTGATTGGTTGATTGATTTAGGTAATTAATGTAAGAAAATGGCCGAATATATGAAAATAATTTATGCTTTATACCGAAATCGAAATGTCCGCTCCAACGAAGATTTCTGCGAGAAATCCAGTTTGCAAGCTATGTGGAGGTTCTTATGAGAGGTCATGACACATGTCGATTTACTGTGGGTTTTGTTTCTGGTGGGATTTACCCTCTGATGCAAAAGCATTTTCTTTGACCTCTTTTGAAGCGTAAAGCTCGTTATTACGTTTGAATAAGGGTTCTGATTTTCTCCAAAGTGTATTTTGGATCTGAACAACTAAGCGGTTTTTTTTAGTCCTTGAATGTAATGTTTTTTCTACAGTGTTGTATCACACTGGGCCTTTAAAATACACCCAGCTTGATGCGGTTTTCTTTGTAGGACGGATAGTGAAAATACAGGTCCAAAATTATAAGAAGGAAGTGCAGCTTAAACTGAAGCTGCATTAACTATGGAGAATTGCATTGTGACTTTTTAGTGTTTTTGTAAAACGAACCTTTTAGTTGCCGGGTTCCTTCCTTGGGAAGCTTTGTTTGACTGTTTTAAAATTGCAACTTTAGTGATCAGGCAAGACGGTTGTTTTTATATTGGCGAACCTCATTAGTTGCCGTGGTTAGTTTCGACTTTGTTGCCTTTTAAAAGAGGAACTTTCCAATAACATCCTGGCCTTTCAGGATAGATTCGAAACACCTAACTTGAAGATGGAAAGTTACCGTTACTCAGGGAAAATCCGACCCGGCGAAGGGCTGATAAAAACTCTGGCCTACCCGCCATTTTCGATGTTTTGTAGCGATCGAATGCTAATTTATTACATCCACAAGTCTGGGTGTTTGAAGGTCATGTGACCGGCCGATGACAGTTCCTTTTCCCGCCCCACCTCCAAAGCCAGGGAAAAGCGCCCTGGGAACGAGATTGTGACACTAGCTTTACTCATATTTTTCCTGTACGGGTCATCCAAGAGTTATTTTGCACTTAAAATAAGCTGTCGCTAGACATGCAATTTTTAATGTTCACCATCAGTTATTCCTCTATGGACAGTTTAGTGTAAATTTGCTTACTCGAAGGAGGATACAAAATCTTCGCACAATTTTAAATATTTCGATATTTATATGATTTTATAAAAGTTACTGAAATTAAAAAACCCGATTAAAAAACATGTAAAATTTTAACAACGCGTATTCAGGATAGATTTAGAAAATTACCCAAATTAAAAACTGGTTCTAATTATGGATGAACAACATTTTGCATGTTCAGGATATACGTAATTAAAATAACCCAAATTATTTTGCAAAGATTTCCCATCATGAATTAGAGAATCATGCTTTCATCTTCATCTTTTTGAAACAGTTTATCCAGAAATTTGTAAAAGTTTAAACTATTTGAAAAATGAAATAAAAGTGAGCACGCTTGAATAGCGAAATTTAATGCCCTTTTTTTCTATCCGCCTATTGAAATCGCGAAAATCAAAGAACACCGTGAAATGCCGTTTCTCCAAAATCGCGAAATTAAGTTCCAATAATGTAGCTTAAATACAAATATGTCATGCGATCACAATACTTTTCCTGTGTCATATCGAAATTTCATACCTTCTGGAGAAAAAGCTAACGCAGATACGAACCACAAAATATTGAGAACCAAGCTTCCTTTCATGATGAGCAGTAACTGTTAGCTAAGGAAAGCAGGATTTGAGTTAGTTCAGAGAGATAGATTACTGCTTTAAGTAGTAGTTGAAATTTAAATATCTCTTCACACCCACGAAAAAACCATTTGTTATATTTACCTGGCTGAATTTGACTTTGAAAGCTGGTGGTTTTGTTCTTTTTGTTCTCCTATTATTTGAACTATCGCGGTGGCTTTTTGAGCCATTAAAGGTCGTTAAATACTTACTTTTACTAACAATGCTGTATTTTTGTATTGTTAGATCATGACCAAGGTCATGTTTCACTACCATCAACAGTGATAGCAGCATTGTAGCCCCGGATTGTAGAAGCTTATAGATAGCATAAACATTTTCATTAACCCAAGCGGAGCTCATTCCCTTACTCTATCCGTAATCCTTCTCTTTTTGCGCCATTACATACTAGTAAAATCATAGTTAAGTAATTTTGTTTTAAATCAGTTCTCTTCAACTGCATGAGCGTCTTCAGTAATTGCCACAAATTACCACACGGCCTCATAACGTAACTGGTTATGCAGCTGCTGTGGCCTTCAAATATCGCTGTCTTTTTGCAGGTAATGTAGCCATTAACAATCTATTTCCTCTATTTTAGTAATTCAAGCACACGAATTAAATTTCGATCGTGTTACACAGCTTGGATGAAATAATTGTGAGTGAATTAACTTTGTTTTCATTCAATGGTTTATGTTGGTCTATGTAAAATAAACACATTATACAACGGTCCATATACACCCGTTAAAAACTGTTATTTTCAATTGCCATGAAATGTTAACTTCTTGTTGCTTCAACAATTAATAATTTATTGTGTGCACTTAAAGGTATCATTATGTACTTTGCGAGAGCTTTCTCTCTTGCATGGCTTTTTGTATTCCTCCGAGAGAATAAAATAAATCAACTACTCGACTGACAAGCGAAGCCAACGACTCCTTAAATGCTAAAAGCCATGCAAGAGAGAAACTTCTGCTCGAAGAGTATGATTGTGACAAGCGACGCCAACGACTTCGTACACGCTAAAAGCCATGCAAGAGAGAGACCTCTGCTGGCAGGGTAATCATTATGTAACCAGTCCCTCTTCCCTTTTCCTTCAACTTTCGCTCTCTCCCGAATTACAAGAGAACGCCTGATGGCATGCGCAGTGGTTACCATTCCGGCTCTGATTCCTCTCAGTTAAAACTGAAGATCAAAATGCCCTTTCTATGGAGCCTGTTTTTTTAATGAATATTCTTTTCGAGATTCTTTATGACTGATTTCTTATAGAAACATGCCCTGACGCATATAACGGATGGGCAAATTTATTCAAAATAATTCGATTCAATGATGAGGATTACTCAGGATCCTTTAAAAAACTGACCATTCCATCAAAATGTTTGTGTAGGATTATTGTGAACATACTGTAAATAACAAATTATCTAAACTCAAACGTTTCAAATTTTTAAATTTTATTACACAGCTGCACTGTAAATGAACAACATTTCTTGATGCTAAATTTAATACGACAAGCGGCCCATCACGGGATAACTCAGATTAAATTCGACAAGTCGATTTCTGGTAAATTTTTAAAAATGTTACTGTCAAAATAGACCTTTTTCGCTAAGCAGTTATTTGTCAGTCAAAATAAAGACTAAGAAAAACTATGAGTGTAGCTAGTAAAAACCAAACTGCTTTTCCCCTTCTCCTTGTCTCTTTTTATTTTTTACCTTCAGCTCCCTTCGCTACAGTGATTTTTGGGCTCGCTTTTATTCAAATTTATGCCATAAAGGGGGGAATTCGGTCAAAAGTCCTGTTTTTCGGTTATATCACCCTTTTTCTTCCAAATCTAACCAAGGTTTCATTTAACCAAATGGTCGTAGTAATTGGTTCAATGAATGTGTGAGAAGTTTTGGTTGTTTTGTAAATGTTTCATTTTTTTAATGAATAAACGTTTGGGGAGATGTTTAAAATTATTGAAATTTGGAAAATGTTGTACGTAGAGGATACTTAAAGTTAAAATATGAATAGAATTATTTGTAGACAAATACCAGCTACTCCACTAACAATACAAGGTGCCTCTGAGCTCATTATCGGACTAACTGGTTTATGTGTATAGTTTACCTTTTCTACCCAAATTTCTTTCCGTGTGTCCCCCCAAAAACAACCATAATCTGCCCTTAAAGCTGGACGGTTTTATTATTATGTAGCAGCTCTACTGATCACCATATGTACAAGTGTAGTCCACTTAAGGTTAACCTCGTCCGGACGAGGTTGTTAAAAGTTACGTTAACTGACTTAAGCCCGAATAAGGATCCATTCCTTTCTATTTGGCGCGGCTATTTTAAGATGAACACCGGCGGATTTTCGCAATTTCCTTTCTATTAAATCCACCAAATTTAGAGGATTCGAGTCAAAAACTCCAATAAAAGAGGGGTTCACTGTTCTCTTTTCATCGTAAAAAGATAACACTAAAGGGACAATATGGGCTTCAAACTATCATTTTGCGCGAAGGGACTGGGGCGAGTTTCAAGGTTCGCCGGGAAGAGTTATCACAATCCGTATGGAAACCATTTGGACTACAAATAGACTTTTGTTTGCTCTCTTCGCTCGACCG